CAGGTGCAGTGGGGCTGGGATGAGCAGGAGCGGAGTGGTGCCTGGCCTGGCTCGGGCTCCTCCCCGGCAGCCTGCGGCTTCCCGCACTGCTATGTCCCCTAAGGGTGAGGCTGAGGGACCCCACCAGTGTACAAATCCATGCCATCGATCTCTAGTTAGTTAATAAAATTACATAGGTTTCAGGTATACAATTCTACAACACATCATCTGTGTATTGTATTGTGTGTTCACCACCGCAAGTCAAGTCCCCTTCCATCACCCTTTGTCCCCTTTTACCCTTTTCTAACTCCCCCTCTTCCCTCTGGCAATCACTATACTGTTGTCTGTGTCCATGAGTTTTTATTTTATTTTATTTTTCTTTGCTTAATCCCTTCACCCTTCTCACCCAGCCCCCAAACCCATCCTCCGATAGCTGTCAGTTTGTTCTCTGTATCCATGAATCTGTCATCACTTTGTTGGTTACTTGATTTTGTTCATTAAATTCCACATATAAGTGAAATCATTTAGTGCTTGTCTTTCTCTGACTGGCTATTTTCACTTAGCATAATACTCTCCAGGTCCATCCATGCTGTAGCAAAGGTAAGATTTCCTTCTTTTTTACTGCTGAGTAGTATTCCACTGTGTAAATGTACCACAGCTTTTTTATCCACTCATGTACTGATGGGTACTTGGGCTGCTTCCAAATCTTGGTTATTGTAAATAGTGCTTCAGTGAACATAGGGGTGCACATATTCTTTTGAATTAGGATTTTGAGTTTCTTTGGACATATTCCCAGAAGTGGAATTGCTAGGGTCATAAGGTAGCTCCATTTTTTATTTTTCTCAGGTAACTGCATACTATTTTCCATAGTGGCTGCACCAATCTGTGTCCCCAATCCAATAAAAAAAAATGGGCAAAGGACCAGAATAGACACCTTTCCAAAGAAAACATACAGCTAGCCAATAGATGTGTTCAAATTACTAATCATCAGGTAAATGAAAATTAAAACCACAATAAGATATCACCTTAAACCTGTCAGAATGGCTACCATCAATAAATCAACAAACAAGTATTGGCGAGGATGTGGAGAAAAGGGAACTATTGGTGGGAATGCGCTGTTGGTGGGAATGTAGACTGGTGCAGCCACTGTGGAAAGCAGTATGGAGTTTCCTCAAAAAATTAAAAATGGAACTGTCTTATGACTCAGCAATTCCACTTCTAGTAGAACTGATAAATGAATTCAGTAAAGTACCTGGATACAAAATAAATATCCAGAAATCAGTTGCATTTTTATACACCAATAACGTATTATAAAAAGTTAATCTAAAAAAATTTCATTTACAATTGCTTAAAAAATGCCTAAGAATAAATATAACAAAGAATGTAAAAGACCTATACTTGGAAAATTATAGGACACTTAAGAAAAAAATTGAAGAAGATACAAATAAGTGGAAGCATCTACTGTCCTCATGGATAGGAAGAATTAATGTCATTAAAATGTCCATACCACCCAAAGCAATCTATAGATTCAACACAATTACTATCAAGATACCACTGGCATTATTCCACAGAACTAGAGCAAATATTCAAATAATTTATATAGAAACACAAAAGACCCCAAATAGCCACAGCAATCTTGATAAAGAAGAACAAAATAGGAGAAATCATGCTACCTGATATCAAACTATACTACAAGGCCATAGTCATCAAAACAGCATGGCACTGGCATAGAAACAGATATATAAATCAATAGAACCAAACAGAAAGACCAGAAGTAAACCCAGGATGTTATATCAATTAATATTTGACTGAGGAGGCAAAAACATACAATGGGGTAAAGATAGTCTATTCAATAAATGGTGTGGGGAAAATTGGACAAATATGTGCAAAAAACCCCAAACTAGACTATTTTATACCATATAAAAGAATAAACTCGGAATGGATTAAAGACTTTAATGTTAGACGAAAAACCATAAATATCCTAGAAGAAAACATAGGTAGTAAAATCATGGACATTTATCATAGCAATATTTTTTCTCATATATCGCCTCAGGCAATAGAAACAAAAGAAAACAAACAAATAGGACTACATCAAACTAAAAAGTTTTTGCACAGCAAAGGAAACCATCAACAAAATGAAAAGACAACCCACTGAATGGGAGAACATCTGATTAATTTCCAGAATTTATACGGAACTTATAAATTAGAAGGCAGTATATCTTTATGCTGTAACCAATCATCAACATATATATTTTAATTTTAAAGATGAATATATATTCTTTTACATTAGTGTTTTCATCTCTTTCTTGTCTGGTACTTAATGTTGGCTTTTATTTTCATGGCCATATTTAAATTTAGCTCTAGTTATCTGTGTTATAATAATATAACAATATTAGTCAGAAAGACCTGAGCATAAAATTACTATGTTTGCACATGCTGAAAACTGGGTTAATAGTACCTATTTTATCAGTTTATTACATAATGAAAGAAATAATGTGTTACAGTGCTTATCCAAAACCAGGCATCAGTAAAGATGGGTAAATGTTAGAATCAATTCCACCAGGCAGGGATCTTTGACTCTTATGCTCACAAGCTCCTAATACAGTGCCTGGCACACGCAAGTTCTCAGCACCTCCATGTCAGCTGTTGCCTTGTCCTGACTCCTACTCTATATCCCTCATCTCAGTGCTTTGACAATTAAACACAATAGAGCTGCATATAAAGTACATAACAAAGAGTCTGACACAAAGAAGGTGATTTAGCTAGAATTATACTTTTAGAGGCATCATTAGGCAAACGATTGGTGAGTGCTCTTGGGAAAACATCTTCAGCAAGGCTAATGGTCTTTCCTTCTGTCCTGCAGGCATCCTGTTTTCCCTGGTGGTGATACTGTACGTCATCTGGGTCCAGGCAGTGGCTGACATGGAAAGCTACACAAACATGAGAATGAAAGACTGCTTGGATTTCACGCCTTCTGTCCTGTATGGCTGGTCATTTTTCCTGGCCCCAGCAGGGGTGTTCTTTTCTTTGCTCTCTGGGTTACTATTCCTAGTTGTTGGGCGACATATTCAGCTACACCACTAACCACACTGTTGCCACTGGCGTTTTCTTGAGAAGTTTGAAAACAGCATATTTTATTGTTATTTGCTCCAGTGATCCTAGCAGGGAATTAGTTGATGTAACTTTTTAGTTGCTATTTGAATTAGCCATTTCACTTGTGATTTTCTCTAATAAGAAGGTTCTGGAATCTCTCCGGACCCCAACATATTTTCATCTTTTAAGTGCGACCCAGAACCTGGTTCTTCAGGGAGCAGGTAACAAGGCCTCCTTCATTGCACTTGCCAGAGTTCACGCAGGTTGCAAACATTAAAGGCAGAACAGCAGCAGCATAATACCATGCTCTGGGGCAATCAAGATTTGACTCGAAGCCTTCTTCTTGGCATTCACTTCTGTTGCTACTTAAAAACATCTTTGGAAATTGATTAAGAATGAAAAACAAGTATCAGAGAATTTACTCCATTTCTTCTCCACACATGTACATATCCATGTCTACGTTCACTGACTCCTTTGAGCAAGTTATTCATTATTTAAAAATAGATAGCAGTTGTTCTTGTAGCAGGAGCCACACAAACGTATCAGTTATAATAATAATTATATAATTACAATAAAAGGCCATGCAAAACCGAGAACGTCCACTTCCCCGTGTTCTCATCAGCAGTCGTTTGGTCACATGACTTTAGAATGTAACTGCGCATGCTTACATAACCTTGAGCTATATTTAAAAGTAGCAAATCTGTACACCAAAATACATATAATGCAGATCGGATTTTCAGAACTTAAAGTGGGTTAATTGTATATTTAATAGGGTTGAAAATACACAAAAACCAAGAACCTTAGCTTACTACATAATTCTTTTTGATATTTAAAAATTCCCATTTAAAATTATATTGTTAATATGTTTAGTTTATGAAAATTTATTGATGAAATGTGCTTTTAATATGCACAAAATACTTCTATATGAGGATGATAATCGATTCACTTTATTAAAGACTATGAAACTGTAATTTTTCCAAGATTGTATGGGTTGTAGTTCTTCTGATCATTTGATTCCTTAGTTATTGTTCCTCAGATTTTTCATCTTTACAACAACTATTTTAACACTTACAAATTTTCTATTTGCTTTAATGTCTTTGAAGAGTGGGAGGGGTGGAGTGGGAGGGGATGATCCTGTATTATTGCCGAGCATAGACATTTTGCATATCAAAGATGCCTGGTACAGATTGTGAATGAAATCAAACCCATCTGAGAAGCCTCGTTCTCGCATTTTGGAGACCTCCCAGTGGGAGGGTGTGCTAGTGAAGGCATGAGGCGTGGAGGGAGCATGGCAGTGACTCTGTCCCTGGGGCAGCATTTACCTCCACGCTGCTGTGGAGGCAGGGCAGGGCTCAGCAGACTGCGTGACTGCACAGAGATGCTGTGGGATGGAGGGGCTGCGCCTCCCATCAGCTGCCCATGATGAAGACACTGCCCAGTCTTCACCTCACATCTTGTGTTTTCCACTAACCTTGTCTCCGTGGGAGAGGTTTCCAGAGGAATGGCAAGGGTCTGAGATATCTATAGAATAATGAGTGTCACTGTAGTGTTTGGGGACAGTTAGGACTTGCATGTAGTAAAAAAACACACCAAAGAAACAAAAGTACAACAAAACTTCAGGATTTTAACTGGTTTCTCAAGCCATTTTAATTATATCATAAACAATTCTGTGTAGTTTCATTTGCCTTTTGTTTTACTTTGATATTGCTTCACTTAGTTCCTTGCCTTTGGCTTGATGATTATAAAAATAATTATGGGTTCTATGCATATTGGCTGTGATATTACATTATGGCATGCCAGTAAGTTCTCCAGACAATGCTAGATGTGTTTATTAGTTCATATCGTCTGTAAGTACAATTCCTTTCTGTAGAATTTTGGAATAGAGCCCTTTTCTGGTGTATTACATGTCATTTAGATTTCACATATAAGCTGTTTTCATTAAAGGTTTGAACATTTATAAATTTCAGATGGTTACCCTCACTTTCTAATGTACTTATGCGGCTACCATATATTTATCACAAGGCAATGGGCTGAATATCTGATGTGCATGACACTTTTACACACACCACATTTTGGAAGTATCTGTGGTTGAAATGCATCAATCTCATTAACTCCAATGCATTTCCTGATCTACCACCAGCAATCACGGAAGGAAGGAGGTGAGCTGTGTTTGCTGTCGTAGAAAATATACTTAAAAATAGAAGAAATATATGGTATACTCTTGTAATGGTCTTATGTCTGATTTGGGATAGTATAGTTCCTATTTGATGTATTGACTAATTTTGAAGATTCCAAAGTGCTAAAATCTTAAGAGTGTTTGATTTTACATCATAAACTTTCAATTTGACAAATAAGATATTTTTTGTGTATGGCCATTCTAGAAGTGAAGTAAGAGGGAGGGAATCATGCCCTTGGACTTGGGGAGAGCTGCGATCTCCTTATATGGTGTTCAGTGGGTTAGTTTGGTCGTGGGTTAGTTTGGTCATGGGCTAGTTTGGTTGGTGGGTTAGTTTGATTGGTGGGTTAGTTTGGTTGGTGGATTAGTTTGATTGAGTGGGTTAGTTTGGTTGGTGGATTAGTTTGGTTGGTGGGTTAG